TCTTAGCAGAGCTGGCGCCGTTCGACCCAGACTGGTGCATCATCTATTTTTTAGCTGTTTCTTTCTAAACACAATCCTCCTTCCAGTCACCCAGGCTTAAAATCTTCACATTATTTTTGACAATTTCTTCACTTTTGCCTCAACAAATAACCAGCTGCCCAATTTTCTTGACTCAGCATGTTCTTTCCTCTGTTTTCATGAAAGCCTGATTCCCGTTCTCACTACAGTAGTTCCAGCCTTCTTTACCGTTCTCCGACAGCTGTATTTTTTCTGTCATTCAGCACATATTCAGGAGCTCTTGCTGTGTGCCTGGGGAATCAGTTAGTTAGGGCCAGTAGTATAGAATTGAACACGATAAGCATGGTCGTTGGCCAAGCCTGCAAATGTAACGCATGGCTAAGGATCCTGGGCCGCGATCAGGTAGGGACGGCATGCGAAGCCACAGGGGAGGCTTCCCCTTCCTAGAGGAAGAGAGGTTTAGACTGAAGCCCGAAAGGTGAATGGGAGTAAGCCAGGTACAGGTGAGACAGTTGGGTTGTGTAAGGAACAGCTAGTCAGGAGGGACAGCATATGTAAGGTCTGAAGGTTTGGGTAGGTGGAAAGTACTGATGTAATAGAAGTAAGCTGGCATCTTATCATCCTGAATAATTTAGGCTTTGGGGGGCCTGGGTAGCTCAGTTGGTTAAGCATCCGACTCTAGATTTTGGTTCAGGTCGTGATCTCCAGGCCATGAGATCAAACCCCAAGTTGGGTTCTGCACTCAGTGTAGAGTCGGCTTGGGATTCTGTCTCCCTACTCCCTGTTCCTCCCCCTGTGCACACACATGGGTGCTCTTTCTCTCCATCTCTCTCAAATGAATAAGTAAAATCTTCTTTAAAAAATACCAATTTAGGCTTTTTCATAAGAACCCTGGGAGCCACTGAAAAGTTCTACACGGGAGAGTTAAGGAAGCAGAAGCATTTGGGAACTAGAGGAAAGGAGGATGCCGAAATAAGATATAAGAAAAGGGAAAGTTTGGTGAGAAAGGTGATGAATTTGTTTTGTTTTGTTTTGTTTTGATGTCTCCCAGCTGGCCTTCTCCCCTTCAGTATCTTCCCCTTCCATCGCATCCAGTCATCTTGTGTGATGCTGCCAGATTAACTCCGTGGGACACACTTCTGATCTCAGTTTATAGAAGTTTAATGACAGGTCTTGTTACGGAATAAAATCTGAATCCCTCACCCTTTTATTTAAAACTTACAATGAACTCGTCCCATCTCTGTTTTAAATCTTGGTTTTTAGTACTCCCCTTTATGTCTTTCTGTCCAAAATTGTATACTCCACACTCCTGAAGCTTTCCCACAATGAGGCCTTTGTCTTGGGCTCCCTCCCTCTTTCCTGTCTGCTTACATACTTAAACCCTCTCCTCCTCCAGGTGCTTACTCAGATGTGAACCCTCCTACGATAACTTCACTTGTTTCCACTGAGAGTAATTCCTCTTTTCTCTGAATCCTCAATATGATTCAATTCACAGTGTAATAACATTCGTCACCTCCCCCATGTGGTAGAACTATTTAGAGAAGCAAGACATGAACTCTGGAACTCAGCTGCCTGGATTCAAATCTCACCCTGACATTTCCTGGCTGTGTGATGCTGAGCACATCTCCTGAATTCTCTGTGCATCAGTCCTCCTTTGTAAAATAAACATTCCTACTGTATAAGTATTGTGGGGATTAAAGAAGTAAATACATAAAAAAAAAAAAAGCTTAATTTTGTGTCTACTAATAGTGCTGTAAAAATATTTGGTATGATCATGCCATTATTTTTATCATGTACACAGAGCATCCACTCTTCTAAGCTGTAACTCGAGGACCTAATCCACATCTGATTAATTACAATGGCTTCTAAATCGCAGACTAAAAAGTGAATGAATGAATTAGAATCGCAGTGATTGCCAGTGATTGCTGTAGTCCCAGCTACTCGGGAGGCTGAGGCGGGAGGATTGCTTGAGCCCAGGAGTTCTGGGCTGTAGTGCACTATGCTGATCGGGTGTCCGCAGTAAGTTCGGCCATCAACGTGGTGACCTCATGGGAGCGGGAGACCACCAGGTTGCCTGAGGAAGGGTGAAGGGGCCCAGGTCAGAAACAGAGTGGAAATTGAGCAGGTCAGAATCACAATGATTAAAAAAAAAAAAAAAAAAGAATCACAATGATTAGTGAATCTTAATTGGAATTTTCACATAGTTTATTTTGAAGATAACATTTTCCTTGTTAAATTAGCTAAATTAGATCATTGACCAAATGTTTAATATATTTAAATTTTCTCTGTGCCCAGCACACAGAATATATGGAGAAACATGCCCTCTTTGGTTTTACGTTGATTCAGGGGAATACCCATGCAGTTAACTACAGTATAATGTAAAGTAAAAAAAAAAAGTGTATGGTCGAAAGTGACTATAGGAATTCAAAGGGAGTAGCTGGAACAATCAGAAAAGAATTCACATCAGTGAGAATGGTAACTTTTAGAACAAAGTACACATAACTCAACTCTCCTAATATAATAGCCAAAATTCGTTGAATGCCCAATGTACCAGGTGCTATGTTTATCACATTCAAACTTCAAAACAGACCTATCTGGAAGTGTTAGTGCTGTGTTCATTGTAAAAATGGGAGAACTGAGGCAGAGCAAGGCAATGTCAAGTAATTTGTCAAAGTCACCCTAGTAAAGAACAGAGCCAGGTTTGGAACCCGGGGAGACTGGATGCAGAGCCTGGATTCTCCCATCACCACAGTCCAAAATTAGGAGTTCTACTTCACTATTTGCTGAACTGTTTCTAATAGTGTATTTTATTAAGTTCACTGGAATTTCTTTTTCTTTTTCATTTTCTTTTTTTTTTAAAGATTTTATTTATTTATTTGACAGACAGAGATCACAAGTAGGCAGAGAGAGAGGAGGAGGAAGCAGGCTCCCCGCTGAGCAGAGAGCCCGATGTAGGGCTCGATCCCAGGACCCTGGGATCATGACCCGAGCCGAAAGCAGAGACTTTAACCCAATGAGCCACCCGGGCGCCCCTGGAATTTCGTTTTCTATTATGTTTCAGCTTATACCTCACCCACTGATCTTGAAAAAAATTTCTCACTTACTCAGTCTTTCATTTACAGTAACGAGCCCTCAGATTCTTCATCTGTGAAATAGAAGTTTGAAGCTATGACAGTAGTTCCTAAACAATCCAAGAGCAATTCTTCCCTCCAGACACGCAGATTTCTGTATTACATTCCTCACCTTTGCTTATTCATGCCCCTAATCAGTGTTCGGTGTGCTGCGGGAAACTTTATAATAAGTCACAGGGTTTTGTAGATTCCAGGAATCCACTGTCCTGGACTAACCTCTAAATAATCTCTAAAGCCATTTCTAGTGGAAATATTTGAAATTTTGCATATTCTAGACTTTAGGTCCCTCTCTCACTAGTTTCTATTTTATCATTTATCTCTGCCATATGATGCAGCACATACCCCCTAGCTCTTAATCTACCAAGTTTTCCTTATTTGGTTTTTTTTCCCTAAATTTTCCCATCTTCCTTCAGCTCAGATTCCTTACTTAAACAATACAGCTTGTTTTGCAGAATTTGTAATTACTGCCAGGCCCTTGTGTAAAGAACTATTTCTAAAATTTATGAGCTAAAACCTAGAACACACATTTACAGAGTTTGAACTTGTTTTGTGAAAATAGCAAATAAAGGAAATGTTTTTATATCATTTTTTTGGATGACTCCAAGCACTTTTCCTGGTAGACTGAATTTTAAAATCCCATCTTGTTCTTCACCTTCAGCATAGACCTACTGAATTAAAAAATTAAGGACAGATACTACCTAGACACAAAGCAACATGATCTCCTGGCCACACCTATTTTTACCTTCCTCTGATTTTTTCTTAATACCAGCCTTTTTCCCACTCCTTGAGAATTTAATTCTAATGGTATTGGAAGTACCTAGTTTAATATCTTTCTACAGTAGGCCTATTTGAGAAATACCATCAGAGAGCTGCCGGTGACGTTATTCTTGGCACTGTCGGAGACTGGGGCTCCATTTGCAAGTTACCATCAAGAAGATGTCAGCACCCATTCCATGTCACCCAGTTGTGCCTTATGTTTCCCAAATTTTATCTTTGTGAATGTGTATGTTTTTCTGTTATGCTGACCTTGTTTTTAGCAAAATCAGCCCAGGCCTGCCACTCCAGCATAAGAGCGTAAGTCTACATTCTTCAACATTTATTCTTTAGGTTTCTTAAACAGGGCCAAACCAATTCCCATTCTATGATGGCTTGTTCAAAACCACCGGTAGCATCTGAAGGGTAATGCATACAGTGTCTTGCCCATGCCTTTAGACTGGCCCCACCCCCCGCCCAGAACTGACCACTTGTTGCTTTGCATCCCATTGAACCTGCCAGGTGTTCCTCACAGCACCTGTGCTACTTTTATGCACATTTACAGGTCTCGCTTCTCTTTCTTAGAGGCCTTTGTATCTAAAGCATCCAGTATAGTATCTGGCTCATGGTAAATATTTATTTAATATTTGCTCAGTGAGAACTCTGGAGTGAGAAGAGAAGAGTTAGTGAGGCGCTTGAGACAGGTACTGAGGGTGAACTGGGGAGTAGGTTACGGGACAATCCTTTCAGGGCTGGTTCCGACAGGGGAGACTAATGCTGGAAGTAGGGAGGTGGAGTATGACAATGGACGACAGCCTGGCTGGCCCATCTGGGGAAATAAAGAGAGTTTGTGCCAAAGGCTGAGAGACAATTGATAGAAACTCCTGAAAGCCAGAATTAAAAAACTTAGTTTTGATTTGAAAGCAATAGGGAGACTGTAGTCTTTTGATTTGGACAATGAATAATCAAAATAATATTTTAAAGTTTTATTGAAAAGGATGTGTGCTTATGTCAAAATTCATATGTGAAATTTTGATTTTAGTCTGTGGGTCATCAGTTGATCTTGAAGGTCTCTTTCTTTCTGTTCTCATCCCACAGGTTGTTATTTTGTACTTTGAGCCAAGCACATTTCGCTGTATTCTCCTCAGATGGGTCCGTCTTCTCGGTTTTGCTACTGTTTATGGAACTGTCACTCTCAAGCTTCACAGGTATATTGTATTCCACTAGTTTTCATTCCCATGGGGAGAACAAAGTGTTTGGCTTAGCATGTAATTGCAAGCTGGGTCAACCACTTAAATTATGGTTTCATTTAGACAACAAGACGATACATGTTTTTTTCATTCTCAAGGCACTATCATTAGGATTCTCTAGGAAAATCTTTCATACAACTGAATTTGAACAACAGATTTCAATAAAATTGTGCCATTGGGTATGGAAAATTTCATTCTGAATAAAAAATAATTTAGAATGAAGACAAGAGAGTATTTACTAGCTAAGAACGGTAAAGAATACAAAGACAATACAGCTAAAAATCCAGGTCGAGGGCTCCCAAAGAATCCTTATATAGTAGAATTCACAGTCTGCTGACTTGACAGAGACTACTGTTATTCATTTGTAAATTACATGCTCCAGAGTAATCCTGCTGATATTAAATGGGTGAAGTTAAAAAAATAGTGTTCTTGATTTCCTCCTTAACCAGTGTGCTCTAGTGATATCAAGCTTGTAAATTAGGCAATGGGGTAATTCTTCTACCTTCCACCTACTTTTCTTAATGTATATGATGAGTATGAAGAAGAAAGAGGCATATAGTACATTACCTATCCACAAAGGGCTTTCCCTTGCCTCCTCTTTCCAAGATCTCTCAATGCAGTGGTGCCGAAGACCACTGGAGAGAGAATGTAATTTCTCCCTCAAGATAAAACATCAAATCTATAGAGGAAACCCTTTATGCTGATTAGCTTTACAGTTGTTTTTATAACTGTAGTAAGAAAATATATGGCATATAATATCACATAATGGCATAGTAAACCATTCATATTTCCATCCTAATGTGATCGTGTTTCTCAAAGTATTTTAATATGGCTTAGACAACAGTTTATCTTAGAATCATAATATGTATTATATTTGTCTTTAAATATCCCCCTTTCAATCTTTCTTTAAATGTGATCATTTTACTATCTACTACACAAGAATCCTAATTTCTTTTTTGGGTTTTTGTTTGGTTTTGTTTGTTTTGTTGCATTGATACTTACTGGGAATGCTCCAGAGTATCTTGTTGGAATAAACATAAATATCCTTAATTCTCAAGATTCTTTTCTTATGTATGTCCCATAGTACAAAGAACATTGGACTGGATGTCAGGAGATCCAGCTTAAATCTCATTTCAGCCTCTAACTCTAGGAAATCACAAGCTTCTATTTCCTATAAAAGGAAAAGATTAGACCAATCTCTGGTGTTCTTTCTGACATTCATTTTATTCTTTCCACATCACAGAACACTTTGCTATTATGTCCTTGTAGTCTTCAAGTATCTTCCGGTTTCCATTCATTATATGATAGCTATTTTTAACTGATGCTCACCAAAGGAAATGAGTAATCATTGGCAACCTGTAATAGACAATAAGCCTCCTAGAAATCCTGAGAGAATGGGCGACCTCCTGAGATTTAAAAATGATCCTTCTCCCTATGAGTCTAGCACTTAGCATCTCTTGGGTCCTCTATTATATAGTACAGTTTGTTTATTTAATTATCTTCTTCATTTTTACCTAATGTACTTTCTCTTTGAAGTAAGGGTCTTACCATTGAATCCCCAGATCTTAGCACAATGACTGATACATGGGAGATATTTAGTACTTATGAGTTGATGACTGAATAAATAAAAACGTCAGATGCGAAAAAAAAAAAAAACATCAGATGCGGACTTAGAAGCTGCTTCCAACAGTTCTCTCCACATGTAATGCATTCACAGCCCCCTGACTCACTGGATGTCCCCATGTGTCTGGAACATGTAACTCTGTGGTCTGCAACAGGCTATTTGGTGGGATACAAACACAATATTAAATAGCACTGAATCATGTAATGAGAAAATTACTTCCATTCAGATGCTCTTTCCATCTTTCTGATTATTTCCAATAAAAAAAATTAGTGGGGCACTGGTAGGTCTCTAACACCCGCCAGATACTTGCTAATCTCCCTTTTCAACAAAGAGCAGATCAAGCTTCAGGCTCAGAGCTTTCCATTCCAATGCTCCCTTGATATAATTTACTGACCATCTCACTGTTTTTCTGTACTTACTTTCCATTTCTGCATTATCAGTTTTTCATGTAAAGTAGCAATATAAAGTTTCCTTTAAAATATTTTCAGTAGAAGTTGATTTAGAGAATATGTAGCTGGTACGCAGACTTAGGCAGAAATCAAGACTGTGGTATGCAAATGATTAGAATTTGAGAAACTAGATTAGTCCATCATTCTTTTGTTTATTTCAAAGACTGGTCAAGCTATTTTCTATTTGTCTTTAGAAGTCATTGTAGTGAAGAGTTACCACTGAAGGTTTAAATCAAGTAGAACTGTTTCTAACTTAATGAGCTGGATTATTCTTAACCTGTCTGAACCATATGTTTTATATTATATTCTGGGTTTTTCATATTGCTTAAATTTTACCAATTCCAACATTGTTTAAGTCTGTAAAACTGAACAATTAACATCCCAGAAGAATGTGAATAACCCAGTGGAAGACTAGCTGAACCAGTTTCATATTTCCCATTCTTAGTTGTACACTGTGCCTATATTTATATATTTAGGTATTTGTTAAGTGAATGAGTGGGTGGATGGTTATGGTGAAGGCAGCTGCCGTGGGTGTCTTTGCTTGGTATCTTAGATTCAAGCAACATGTGGACTTCTAAGATTTGGTAGTAACATGAGAAAGAGGAAAGACCTAAAAGGGCACTGGGGTGGCTCAGTCGGTTAAGTGTCTGCCTTCTGTTCAGGTCATGATCTCAGGGTTCTGGGATCAAGCCCTGTGCTGGGCTCCTTGCTCAGTGTGCCTTTCCTTCCCCCTCTCCCTTTGCTGCCCCTCCCACTGAGCTTGCATGTTCTTGCTTACTGTCTCTCTCTCTCTCAAATAAGTAAATTAAAAAAAAAAATCTTTAAAAAAATAAAAAAAGAGCGAAAGTGTAAATCCTAACAAATCCAAATTCAAATTTCAGTTCTGCCATTAACTATTTATATAACCAAGAATAAATTAATTTAACATCTGAAAATCAGTTTTCTTGCCTCATCTGTAAAGTTGTAAAGGCTAAAACTTTACTGGAATGTTTGTAAATATATCAAGAGGGATGGGGCTACTATGGCTGAATTAAGCAGTAAGAAAATTCATTGGAAAAAATATGGAGAAAGGTATGGAACTAGGCTTTAGAGAACCTGACCCAAGATAGATTGAGGGATCAAATAGCATGGTGAATGCCATATATCAATTTCATAGAAACTTCATTTTTTATTTCAAGATTTTTTTTTCAAAAAGTAAATCCTGCCTCTCTAGGCAGAAAATTCTGAGGAAATTATCAGTACAGATACATAAAGTGACTGTTAAAGTCCCTTGAGAATAGGACAGGCAAGAAAGACCTAGGGTTTGTTTTATTTCAGTCACTTTCCTCAAGGCTTAGTAAAATTATGGAACACTTCTTTCTCCATCTCCTGGTTTCTCAATGATTGATGGTAGTGTTTACAGAATTCTAGTAGCCCTGAAAACTTGGAGCAAATATGAAAAAGGAACAGGATCTCATGCTGTCACAGAAATGATACTATTAGCCTGCGAGGGAACTTCAAGGTTTCATTTGCTTTTACCAAATATTCCACTTTTTAATGTAGTGGTCTCTCCCTGTGTTTGAGAATTATACATCAAAGACTACCATGCCCATCCAAAGGAAAATTGCGAAGAGTCTTTTGTTTTCTCACAGTGAAATATAGGGTAACAATTTGGGGGCAGGGCAAGAGTGGTTTGCCTCTTCATGGAGAAGTCTTTTATCACTGACATTTAGAGTCATTGTTACGCCATGGTGAGAAAAAGCAGACCAACTTTCAGTTGTCTTTATTATTGCCCTAAGTTCTCTACAGGCAAATGTGTCCCTTTGTTACCTACGTCCTAGCGCAAGCCAGTCCCAATGCCCCACCTCCCTGGCAGGCCATTCGTGCAGTGCAATTTAATTCAACCTGAAACCGTTTGTTCCTTTTTGGAGAAAGAAGGAAGAATGGTATAGATCTTAATACGGATCAAAGAGAAAATAGAGCTGAAGCAGGAAAAATGAAGGAGGTTCATTTATAAAGAGGAGTTCCCTTCAGTAACCATACACATGTTTGTCTTGGGACATGAATGATACAGGACACATCTCAAAGAACATCTAGTTCTTTGTGTGCTTATGTGGGTTCATAGAATACTTGCTAAGTTAGGTTTGTTTGTTTTAAGAAAGTTGTTAAGGCAATATCTCTAGGTTCAGAAAAGCCAAATATATTTTCAGGAGGCAAAATGAGGAAATGTTTTAAATGAAAAGAGGTGGAGAGAGATTAAGAAACTTAATACTAAAAGAACATTTTCCTATTCCCTATAATATGGTTTCTGAAAACAAATTGTCTTTTGCCTTTTTCCAAGGCTAATCAAGAAAAAAAAAAAAAAGACTTTTTTGTACCATATTTAAAATGAATATTTAAGCAAGCTGTGAAAAAGCCTTCTTCTGGCTTTGGACTAGGGATTTCCATTTCATACATTATTCAGTACTCCTTGCTCTAGATACAACAAAATACGTAACAGTTTTCTCTGCTGTGCTCATTAGCACCAAATATTTACACTTTGTGGGAAAGTTTTGTGTGTATTTTTTATTTTATTTTTTTGGTTGTTTCCTTGTAAATTTTAAAAAGTGACTGGAAGTTATCGATATTTATTTACTTTATGTATTTTTATAAGGTTACATAAAATACAGAAAGGTACCTTAAATTTTTGAAAGAATGAAAGAAAAGCAAGTTAGGACTGTCTAGAGAAGCTAAGAATTTGTAACAAAATGAGTGTTGCCTTCTTTAGTTTAACTTACAATAACCGCTGACTGGTAGGCAATTTGAGATAGAGACTCAAGCAAATTCTACTACTAGCTCCAGAACCATCTGCTTTAGCAAGGTGTTGGTTAGCCTTCATTTATGAAAGCCAAAAATAAATAAATAAA